TTCTTGCATCGAGTAAACTTAAGGGTTGGGAAGTATTAGATACGAGCAAAAGTTACCAGTGAGAAATTGGTTTTTAACTGTGTATTCAGGCTTACAACCATATCATATTGAAACACTGGTTCTTGCCTGATCATCGGTTAAGCAACGTCAAGCCTGGTCACTACCTAGATGGTTGACTGCTTGGGAATACCAGGTACTGTAAGCTTGGATGTGCAGGTGGTGTAATGAATCATAGCTCAGAATTGGAACTCAGAGAGCTGAGTTCCAATTCCGGTCAGGTTCATTATGTTAACTAACACACAAGTATCCTTGGGAAAGGTATGAATTTCCTCTTCTCCCAGCTTTGGGTTAATTAGTAGAACTTGTATCAGTAAAAATCATTACTATCCCCAAAAAGTACTTACAATCTAAAAATATTTTCTTGCTTTAAATAAACTGCAAAGGGTTGATAAGCCATAAAAAACAAATCAATCAACTGTGTAGTCAGTCTGTAGTTTTTAAAAAATATGTGCTTTATAACCTTTGCATATACTTAATATATCTGTGGCAATTTTTCAAAAAAAAAAGTAAAGGGAACAATGCCAAAGGTATGAATCCACCTATTCTCCCTCAGCTATGGGTTAATTAGTAAGACTTGTATCACTAAGAATATTATCTTCCTCTGAAAATAAAATTGCATACAAAATATTTAGATTTTGGTATTAAATAATCCATAGAGGTGTTGATATGTCACTAAAGAAAAACAATCAAATATTCGTGAAAAGAACAATCCACCCAGGAAGAGCTTCAGGAGTGGAAAAATAGTAAGTAGGAATTGCAAAGAAGAAGGTAAATATAAGAAGACTAAGAAAAGTAATAAAACTGAAAGAGAACTGATTTTTATAACAAATAGATTACAGTTAATTGGTTAATGTAAATTAAAAGTTAACCATATCAGGAGTCTATAAATTTACCCAATCACATTCCAGAAGTTCTTATATTTATTTGCTGTTAGCTAAGTAATTTATTTTAATTTTTTCCAATATACCAAATGAAATATTTTGATAAAAAAAATGTTAACAAAAAAAGAAAAGAAAAAACCCAAACAAAAAATGGATCATTGTATAATAATGAACTACATGACTTTCTTTTGTTTTATTTTTCTGTCCATGATATGGTGGCTGACCACTTGTATGCCTGTCTACTAGCCAATCCCTGTTGCAGACGCCTGCTCAGGCACAGAGCTCTCTTGCAGTTTATACTGCAACTGTGCTGAGTGGACCTTAGTTACAGTTTCTGTGGGAGAGTGCATTATTTGGCATGATCAACAGTCTGAACAATGCCAGTATGCTCAAACTCTCGGTCATGATGACTTGTGACTTTGTGCTAACTCAACCATTGATGGCTCCTAAATAGTTCCATTTGCCCAGTTTTACTCACAAGGATGGGTCCACCTATAGTATGGTTTTCAGTCACTTTCCAAAGGTGTTGCATGTTGGGATGCCACACCAAGTTGCTAATATTAAGAAGTCACCTTCCTGATAAATCAACTATGATGATTCTGGTTGGAAAGCAAATGTTATAACCACTTGGCTATGTGTCAATCCATGATAATAGAATCCAGATAGCATTTATCAATCTGATTTTGTTACTACTGAATAATGAGAAAATCCATTGTTATGGTAATGTGAAGCATGTTCACTGCCAATTGAAGCAAGCAAACATCATGTTAACATTAGAATTTTAAAACTTTAGAATTTGCAAAATTATAAAAATCAAAACAAAAACAATATGAAATTATAGAATTCAGCACACTTGTCATATAGAAATTCAAATATATTCATGAATTTTTTTATGGTAATAAACAGTTGAATAAAATATAACTTTTCTCAAAAGTTCAGACAGAATTTAGCAATCTTAAAAAGACAATAATAAGAAAATTTTACAATGGCTTTAAAAACATATTTTTTTAAGAATAATTTCACCAGTAAGGCAATGAAGCCACTAAGACTCAAGGGGGTTACTGTATTTTTTTTTCTTTAAGCATTTCACCCCTAGCAAGGCGGGAAGCAACTAGCATGCAAGGGGTTACAGAGGATTTGGAGCGAGAGCAGATAGGAATGATAGAGGAAAGGATGAGGAGAAGGATAGTAAATAGATCAAGGCAACTGGAAATGTCGATTGACATTACATTTGAATAGTTGGAGATTATAGCTATCAGGGAAACAGGAATAGGGAAGGGAGTTCCACAGGCGAGAGGTGTGAGATATGAAGCTATTGGAGTAGAAGAGGCAGCTACATTTAACAGTTTCAGCAGTGAAAGGGTGAAAGCAGGATGCCAGCCTCATAGGACGCTTGAATTCATGAAGTCTGGGAACCAGCGAAAGCAGCTCATCAGAGCAATTACCATGAAAGTATTTGTAAAAAAAGACAGAGAGAGGCGATGGCACGTCTGTGAGAGAGAGACTGCAGACGAGATGCCAGATCAGGGCCAATTATATTGCCGATCTGTCTCTGGATCTTATCAAGAACCCCGAGGCAAACAGAAGGGGCTCCAGACCATATATGGCAGCAATATTCTGTGCAAGGGTGAATGGTTGATTTGTAGATTTGAAGGATCGATTCCGGGGAGAAAAATTTCCTGGCGAGGCACAGGGAGCCAACTTTCCTTGTGGTGGACGAAGAGAGAATACAAGAGAAAATAAAAAAACTTCTAAGGAGAGAGAATAATAAAAGAATAAAAAGACAAAGATAATAATTAGCGTTGCGTTTAAATATTTGAAGATCAAAGTTGACTGGAAAGCTAGAAATTTTAAAAATATATATTTACATAATATATACAAATATATTAAAATAAAGGGAGAAGAGTAGCCAGGCTAAAAAATATTACTCATCACAAAGTGAAAAGAATATAAAACAAAAATGAAACAAAAGCCAGCTGGTTATCACTCCTTGCTCTTCAGAGCTCAATTGAGAACAAAACATAAATATTTGTTGTTTCTTTTTTTTTTCTTATTGCTGCATCTTTTCCCTCTTTGTTTTAAGATATTTGTGTATCTTGCTTGATTATCTCTATCTATAAAAGGCAGGATATGTGTGTGTGTGTGTGTGTAACAAATGCACGGCCACAATTTTCGACGGATTTGCACCAAAATTTACATGCACATGCTCCAAGTTAGTAGAACGGCCAAGACCAACTTTGTATTTCCTAACTCCCATCGATAGTGGAAATAATTGATTTTTTCATGCTTCTACAGCAGTTTTCATGTAGTTTGTGGCTGTTTTCTACTGGCCAGAGTGAGAGCATATAGCTGCCTGCCACAAATAGGCAGGAAGATTCTATTGGCCAGCATGAGAGCCAACAGCTGACTGACACGAATGTTAACTAGAATGCAAAAAAAATTGATAGCTGCATTTGTCACAAGTGGGAAAAATTTAAATCTGCATGGCGCTTTACTCCAATTGGCTCATTCGCTTGCTTAAACTCAACGTTGATCTGATTCCGCAGACCTGGGTTGGGTGTGAAAAAGTATTTGTTGTTAACATTCTTTTTTTATTCAGTTTTTCCAGTTACGAGTCCTTTTTTAAAGCTGACCGTTTTGTGTTCATTTTGCTCAGTTCTTTTTTCGTAACAGATTTAATATTTAGTATAGAGCTTAGAAAAAATTTGCAGTGTGAGATAGGCAAGAAGTAAGGCATGCAGCAACATCAGCACAGCAAAGGGCACTCCTTTAAAGGCAAGGAAGGGCAAAAATATTTTAAGTCAAGTGATAGTGATTGCTGTATGAGTCGTATGATTTTTGAATCAAGCACGGGCAACGCCGGGCCATGCTGCTAGTTTTGTATAAATATTATCATGGTAAATATCTGAGGAGCTTTCCTCTTTGATACGTAGATTTTATGAATTCAAACACACTATTAGATTGACGGCAAGCTCTCATCAATTTACAGTTGAAATGGCTAGATGCAACCGTAAGTTCTACAGTTTCTTTTCTCACACTTTTTGCTTATGAAACTCTCTTCCGGCTTCTTGCTTTTCAGTCAACTTTAATCTTCAAAAATTTAAATGCCATGTCAATCATTATCTTTTTGTCTTCTTAATTCCTGTTCTTTTATTGTTCTCTCTATATAATGTTTTTCATTTTCTCTTCACACCAGTTTTCACTGAAGTTAAGCAACGTCAAGCCTGATCAGTACCTAGATGGGTGACTGCTTGGGAATACCAGATTTTGTATGCTTGGATGTGCAGGTGGTGTAATGGATAATGATTAAATTGTTAATTGGAGAGCAGAGTTCCAATACCAGTTTGATTCATCATATTTGCTTATATGCAAATACCCTTAGGTATGTCATGAATCCACTTCCTCTCCTCCCAGCTATGGGTTAATTAGTAAGTTTTGTATCACTAAAACTATTATTATCTCCAAAAATGAAATAAAATTTCAAACAAAATATTTAGATTTCAGCATTAAATACCTCATAGAGGTTGATATGTTGCTAAACAAAATCAATGAACCAATGTTTCACACACAGTAACCCCTTGTATATTAGGGGCTTTATTGTTTTGCATGGGTTGAAATGATTAAAGAAATCTTGGTGTGTTACCAAGACAGTCTATAGAATGTCTGAAATGCCAGGAAATAATAAAAATAATGACAAAAATTACCAGCAGTTTTAAGATTTTGTGAAGCAGTAAAAGAAATTTGTGTCAGAGTTAACATGACATCCAAATAACAAGAATACTTTAAAGAAAAATGAATGCATATAAAGTTGATAATATCATAAAATGACATAAAATGCTTTTAAAGCTGTGAAACTGTTTGAACATTGTAAAATATTGATTATGTAAGCCAAAGAAGATAAAAGATTAAACCAAGGTTTGCCTAGACATTTACAAGGTTTGATCAATAATAAAACGAGTTGTTTGTAATATTGTCAGTGAAGCTGTTGAAGAGCTAAAAACACTCATTCACTCCAGATATATTTATTTGTAAATTGGACGTGCATAGTTATAGTTTTTGCTAAATATAGATAAAAGAAAAGTATTTTTCTCTTTTTGCTTTGAAAAAAGAACTATAAAAGAAGTATAGAATGAAAGAAGAATGTAATCATGAAAGGATGAATTGCCAATGTGTAGTATGAAGCTATTTATTTGATATTTTCTGTTGATGGGAAGATCTCATCAATTATCATCAAAGATGACCCGGAATAGTAAAAGACTCACCACGCCTCTTCACTGGTTGATGAGGATGGGGAAAAAAAGAGAAAGGTGGAAACAAGAAAGAAAGTTAAAAAAAAAAAACTGAAATTAAGGAAAGGGTGAAGATTAAGAAAAGAAAGAGATAGAACAAAGAAAATAAAGTAAGGAAGGAGATAAGACAGCGGGAGAAAAAAAGAGGGTAAAAAGGAAGACTAAAATTCAGGAAAGGGTGAAGATTGAGTAAAAAAAAAGAAAATAGAGAGAGAGCAAGAAAAATTGGAAGAAGGAGGGAACGAGAGAAAAATGGAATAAAGGAAGGAGGGATGAGGCGTGAAGAAAGAGGAGAAAAAGAAAGATGGAATTGAAGAAAGAGAAAAGATCATAAGATAGAAAAGAGGCATTGAGAGAGAAAAAGATGATAAAAAGACAAACTAAATTTAAAGAAAGAAAGAAAGATGATAGGATAAAAGAGATTGGGAAAAAGAGAAATGATAGAGAGAAAAAATGAAATAAAGAGAAGTGATAGTAAGAAAGAGTGAAGCAAAAAGGGAAATTAAGGAAAGAGAGAAGATGGAGGAAAAATATAGGAAGGAGTGAGAAAAAAAGATAGGGATAGAGAAAAATAAAATGAAGGAGAGTAGGATGGTGGGAAGTGGGATAGAGAAAGACTTATAGAAAAGAATGATGAACCAATGGATAAGCCAAAAAAAAAAAAGACATAAAAAGTGAAGGAATAAAAAGCTATTATAGAAAGAAGCGGAAGAAGAGAAAGAAAGAAAAACAGAACTGAAGAATGGAAAAAAAGGAAAGAAAACAAGAAAAGAAAAATACATGATAGAAATTTGTAAAAAGAAAGTAATTAATAAAGAGAAAATTCTTGAGAGAGAGAGAGAACAAAAAAGATTGAGTGTTGGTGAAAATATCTGGAATGAAAGAATGAGAAAAGAAGAGGGTGTAAAAAATCTCAAAAGAATGGCAAAAGTCTGGACTAGTTGTTAAAAATTTCTGAAGAATGAGATGGATAATGGAATGAGCTGAAAAGATGGAAAGAAATACATTATGAAAAAATCTGATCAAGAAATGTAATTTGTAAAATAATGTTTTTATCTTAATTTCCCAGTTGGATTTCATGTGAAGAAGAAGATTAACTAAGTTGATGTTTCTTTTATTTTAACTTTGGATTTCAGCATAGCAAACAGTTCTTTGATTGATAAGAAAGACATAAAATATATAAGTGTTTGCAAACATATCTTTATAGGAAATATATTCAAATTCTTCATAGAGACATATTTGAGTGTTGGGATGACAACAAAAAGGTCAAGAGTTCAAGCCCAAATTAATTGTAATGCAAAAAAATATGAGAATGACAGCTTCCATGTCATTAATTTTTTTTACTAGTTCTTCTTTTTGTCTTTGTTGCTTATTATCACAAAGACATCTGTCTATATTTCTGAGATGAGGTATTGTAACTATTTACACTATTTACATTGTTCAGACTGTTGTCCTCATCATTATTATCATATTCACAGTCTATATTTCTGAGATGAGGTATTGTAACTATTTACACTATTTACATTGTTCAGACTGTTTTCTTCATCTTTATTATCATATTCACAATGTTTTAGCTGTTGTACGCTTTGATCTAATTCAGGTGATATACATTGGAATTTTAAACTGAACCCTTTATTCTGTCCACCGGGGTAGATTGTTCTAGATCCATGTGCCATGCTTTTTCTGAAAATAGCTGAAACTGAGATATCCAGAAAAGGCATAGAATGTGAAATTTGAACAATTTACCCCATGGACTAAAAAAAGGATTTGGTTTGAAATTTCAATGTATATCACCTGAAGAAGGCCAGAGTGTGAATACGGTAATAAAGATGTGGACAACAATATGAATGATATAAATAGTGTAAATAGGTACAATACCTCATCTCAGAAATATAGACAGGTCTCTCTCAGCAATGTTTATTGTTTTAGAAATTAATGATTAAAATTTTAATAAAACCCAAACATGTGAAAGTGGATTTATACATTTTCTTTATTCTTGAGAATTGTTAACAAAGATTAAATTAGCAATATTAAATTGAATAAAAAAGCTGTCATCCTAGTTATTAATAAAATGGTAAATAATAAATATTAAATAATAGTTGGTTTCCTTATTTTGATAATTTTTTAATAAATTATTGAATAAAAAGATTTCTATTCCAGTTTATTTCTTTATAAGATGGTAAATAATAAATCTTTAAGAAGGTAAATGATAAATATCACATCATATTTGGTATGTTTTTATAATGTTGTAAATAAACATTGCTGAAGGAGTCAAAAGTGTATACAGTAATAGCAGCATCAAGGGAATAATCATCCTTTTGAAACAGTTTTTTGTGGGCACGAAGATTGTCGAGATTTTTATATATTTTATTCATAAAGTGCCATTTATAGCCTTATTGTCTTTATTGTTAAGTTTGTTTTAGGTCATCGACTGAACCAGGCTAAGGGAAACTGAAATTTTCAAGTGCTGAACTCTAAGTTGTCATGATATTCCTGTTCTTTCAGGAGAAAATTCTAAAGTGTATGATGCAAGCATTGGTTAACGAGAGTCTGTCATATTTAATTGTGAAGAAGTGCCATGCCAACTTCCAGTGTGGAAATATTTTTTGAACTATTGTTCACCCAATGCAAAGCCCAAGAGCCCCTCAAGATAGAGGGCTCCTGAATGAGGTTGTATGACAATAAGATGGGGAGGTACGCTGTACAGTTTATTAGGATATGCTGAAAAGATACCAGTTAACTCCAGACTTGAAGCGGTTAACATTGTAGTGATCAGAGAAACATCCACTCAGGAGTTTGCCCAAGAGCCACTCAAGATAGAGGGTTACTGAATGAGGTTGTATGACCATAAAATGGGGAGGTAAAACTGTACAGTTTATTAGGATATGCTGAAAAGATAACAGTTAACTCCAGACTTGAAAAGGTTAACATTGTAGTGATCAGAAAAACATCTGTTCAGGAATTTGATAAACAAAGTAGAGTTTCTTGGGAAGGAGCTGTTTGAATAGAACTTCTTTCTTACTAATGGAATATGAAGGAACTGGGGAGGAATCGTTTCTGGGAGGGCGAGGTCTGAACTAGTAGAAATGTAAGGAATGTGGTTTGTCAAAACATTTTCTATAGAAATAGTGATATAATATCAAGATGCTAGCAGTGTCTTGTCTGTGGGAAAGGGGTTGCCGAGTAGAAAATAATTCATCACCCACAAGGCTGTGTAAATGCTTTTGATCAAGGTTGGAATGTGAGAATTGGACAACTCCATCCCAGATATCATGTCCTAATTTTGGTCTATTGATGAATCTCACCAAAAAGAATTGCTGAGACACATGATAGTATCCATGAAACACATTGGGTTTATAATTCAGGAATAATTGTGCATGCAGAACGGGGTCATCAAAGCCTGTGTCAAAATGCATAAATACCAACTAGAAATGTTTTGAGTGGGCACTGCTAAGTTGATTTCGTAGACATAGTGATGTTGATGAAACATAGCTCATGGCTCCAGACTAACTTTTATTACCATCATTTGTGGAATCATCCTGAAAGACAACTTTAATTGTCACTGAGTGGAAGGCTTCCTACACTGAAGTCAACAGTCAGTGCATAGTGTTTCTCTGATAGAATTAACAGCCATATGTCAGTGATGAAGATGGGCTTTCAAGTTTAAGAATGTCAGTTGTAGTTTCATCTGGAGAGGGATGGACTCCTCCAGGTTTACTTGCCCAAGAAATGCTACATATGAATAAATACCTCTCTGATTCTCTACCCAGATATGCAGAATGGACTGATCAGATGCTCAGTTCATTTCACAGACTTAGTGATGTTGATGAAACATAGTTAGCCTCATGGCTCCAGACTAATTTTTATCACCATCATTTGTGGAATCATCCTGAAAGACAACTTTAATTGTCCCTGAGCAGAAGGCTTCCTAGACTGAAGTCAACAGACAGTGTATAGCATTTCTGTGATAGAATTAACAGTCATTATATAACCATATAAGCAGGCCTTGTACAGGTGACCTTTTGTTTCCATTTTTCTTATGCTCATGTAGTCTTCTTTTTAAATATTGCATGTCAGACTATAGCTACATGTCATATGCTGTTTTTTTAGATGGCTGAAAATACAGTATATCCTTCATGACAACTAAAATATCGTGAGAATTAAAAAGATGAGGTTAATCATCAAATTGTTACTTCCAATTGCTTTTAAAATATTGAAGTGCAAGGAATGGTTTTGTTCTATTGTATGTGAAAAGAAAACTTCTGATTGTAGTTGGAAAGTGGTAAGCTCAATAAAATGTCAACAGCTAATCTTTTAAAAATAAACATCACCTGGATAACAGAGATTAAAATGATTGGCTGATAGCAATCACATGATGTGTTTACTGATAAAAGCTCAAATCAAGAAATAGCCTGTGTATAATGTTCTAAAATGTTTCTATCAAAAATAAACAGAGTGATCTGTGGGTTATAAATTTAGCCTATCAAGGGAAAAGATCAACATCAATGAATTGCTTCAATGATATAAAAACAAATAGAATTTTTACTTGTGAAATCTGCCTTATTGCTTCAGTGTATATGAATAAATCCAGAATATATGGCAATGCTAATGTTGAAATTAGACATTTTTGTACAGGAAAAAGAATCTCCCTTCTTCCCAATTCATATCTATCTATCTATCTATCTATCTATCTATCTATCTATCTATCTATCTATCTATCTATCTATACCAGTTTTTTTATATCCCCCTCCCTCTTTGTCTGTCTGTTTA